ATCGTCATTGCTAATTGCCACTCTCTTGAAGCCAGTAGTTTAGTTTAGCAACCAGCTGACATAATGCGTATTTCTCTGCAGAAAGACCAAACGAACAGCACCACCTGCTGCATTTTTATAGTAACTACAGTAACCTGCTTAAAGTTACATTTTAACAAAACAAGTCATTTAAATTTTGAATTTTGAAACATGACGGTGGCAGCATCATGCTCTGAGCAGTGATACATAAAATGTTCATAGATTATGTAAAATGCGGCCAAAGGTGCAAATGTATTATCTAGATTAAACCATATTTATGTTTGAAATTAACTCTTCAAAGGCCAGGAATTAATCTAATTGAGGATTTTTATCCAATTTGACAGAATTTGGGGTATTTAGCAAAGAAGAATGTTTCTTCTGGAGTTTCTTCTGAAGTTTCTTCTGAAGAGCATGATGTTCCTCCTGTCTGTACGTCGCCAGTAAAATGGTTAAAAAACATTTATTATATCAACTGATTTTCCATAATTGAGCTTATGTAGCTATATAATGCGCTGCGTTTTTTGTCACCAAATGTGTGTGTAACGAGCTCCGTGTGCGGAGGAGCGATCATAAACGGCAGAGAACAGATTCTAAGAGCAGCGGTAGCTTCTGGCACAGCGATCGCTTATTGATCATCGCAAAATAAACACTAAGCCTAAAAACACACTACTGCAACAGACTAAATGTTTTGGTTGTGTGGGAAACATTTGAATGTTGTTTTTGTTTTGTTTTGTTTTGTTTTGTTTTGTTTTGTTTTGTTTTGTTTTGTTTTGTTTTGTTTTGTTTTGTTTTGTTTTTTTGGCGTTGAATCCTGAAACTTAAAATGGCATTGTTGTCAGTTGCTATGCCAACGAGTCTGCGCGTAGCTTGGACGATACAGAGAGCTAGAAACAAGTAGTTTTGCTGTTATTGCATTTATTTTTTATTTATTTATTTATTTTTATAAATTTTGCTGCATAGGTGCATAGGTGTTTTTGAGTATCATAATAATTTATAGGGTTATTTGTGATCATAATAATAAGAGAGAAAACCGTTTTAGACAGAGATTGTTTTCTTTTACTTTGTTATTTCATTTGCAGATGTATTTATCATTTCTGTAAGTTCTTCCACACGATAAATTGATTACAATTGTGGACTAAATGGCAAGATAAATGCGATTTCTTAAAAAGTAGAAGAAATAGCACCATCTGGTGGATGATTTGAGTCCCTACTAGCAATGTTTTTCAGCGTGTATTTCCAAAACTCACTGAAAATCTGGAATATTAATCACAAAATCAAGAACAAACATGCTGCTTTCGATTATAGGGCATTAATTTTGTATTATATTCTAAATTCGGGTCAATAAACACAGCTTTTTGTTTGTCTGTTATGCCTTACCTGCTAAACTAAACCGAGGGTGGGCGGGGAAGGCAGTAAAATCCCATCATGCATTGCGTCAAAATTGTTAAAAAGGTTTCCTAAAACAAATAAAGTTAAATTATTTTTCATTAAAAATAAGTGAAAACATAGTCTATGATATGTTTACACTTTTTCAGATAATTTACGTTAGTTCATGCGTCTTCTCTTTTTTTCACCTCTGAAACCGTCATTGAAAACTATTTACCCGTGAATATAAGGGCTCACTATCAAGGTAGAAGCCAGTACACTCTTGTTTCTCTTCAGATCGTATAAATCTTTCGCCTTTTACTAAAGATTTCCGTGGAGAGGAACAATAAGAGTTTGTCTCAATTTTTGAGCGCCCTGCGAAAGTAGGGCTTTCTCTCACTGTTATATTTTAATTTAATTTACTGACAGGGAACTAACACCATAGAAAAGTTTGAGTAATACATGAATTCTCACTGTAAGTATCGCGATATTTAATTGAGCAGGAAGATGAAGCATATTGTATTACCATCATTGATAAACAAATGCAGATTTTTAGATTAAAAGTTAGTTTTAAACAGAAATTGTTTACAATGTTAGATTCTTAAATTTTTTTAAATGTAATTTTAGTTACCTTTTCACATACAGTTGAAGAAAATATTAAGATATGCTGTAAAAAGTGGCATGCAACATTATGTTGTCACAATTTGTTGTTAAATCAAACTAAATTTCCTCTGTTTTTGGTCAGTGACATATAAAAATTATTACTGTTTCTGAAATACATAATTATTGTGGATCTTTATTTATTTTATTGTTGCTTTGGGTGTTTTTGTAATTTATTTTCTATTATTTCATTAAATTCTTATCTCAGTTTCAAATAAATAGCAGTAATCCATTATTTCCTCTCATAATTCGGTCTTCTGACCGCAGTTATGGCACAGACTGCTATAAAATGAAACATGAAGGGCTTCTTTCATTTAAAAAATTTGTGTTGTTTTTTCTTTTTTTTTTAATAACAAAAGATGTTTTAAGCAATGGAACTTAGAGATCTCTTAAACTTTATGCTTTTTACCCAGCAACAACTTCTAAGTTACATGAGTTCATGCGTAAATTCATCATCGGTGAATTAATTTCTGGTGGATATTTATGGAATATGGCTAAAATCTCTGAAGATCCCACACATTCTGGACACAACTTATAAGAAATGCAATGCATATTTTGAAGTGATTTATTTTTTTTTCCTTTTCTGTAAAAAGTATTCTGTATTTAAATATTGGCAATATTTTAAATTTCCCTTCTTATATCTGCAAATTTAAATTGCATTGAATCAAAACACAAACAGACTCCAACAGGCAAAAACCTCCAAGTATAACATTACCACCACCATGCGGTTGTTATACATTTACGATTTAAAATCTTCACATAATCTTCTTGTTATTGGTTTCCCATCGTTCTTATTGTTGCTCAGTCCAATAAGTGCCGTGAAACAGCTCCTTTTTATGCTGTCAAAGAGAAACTATGGGCTCCAATCAATCACAATCATGTATCAGAAATTAATAGGCCTCAGTCTCATCAGGTTAAAAGTAATTGTGATCAAATTATTAAAAGATTTTTGAACCAAATTTTAATTATTTTAGCTTATGTGTGTAATTGTGACTATGTTTGGAGAATAGAAAACACAAAAGAAAGTTAAAACCTTTTCATTCAATCTTGTTTTTTTATTCTTCAAAATCCATGTTCATGATGAGTGTATGCAAACTTTCTACTGTACTTGAATATATAGTCAGTGAAACCCAACCATAGTAGCAAATAAAAAAGGTGTAAGCAATTGTTAGAATAAATAACTAATCAATTCTACTTCTATTTTACAAAATGGACACTTAAACTTCATCTTTTTAGGTCTAACTTGCTGGTAGCTGATATTTGGGTATGATTTTATTGCATAAAACTATTTCCCTCATCATTAACACACACCCACGTGTACAGCACATGAGCCATTGTCCAAAAAACCTGGTGAGGGTCCAGGTCTCTTGACACATACAGTAACCCCATTAAGTGTAATTCCGGCCTTTCCTCCATGGTTTGTCCAAATCACGTGACAGTGGAGCTGGTAGGAAGGTGGAAGAAGGAAAGAGGGGGCGGCTCATATGGTTCATGTTGAAGAGAAACTGCGTCAGGTCAACCAAAGAGTCGCTAAATCAAACAGGAAGCTCGGCCATTAGGTTTCAAAATAAAGCTCAGGAATGACTGGGTAAGCTTTTTGACCTTGATTTTTTTATTTTAATTTGAGCGACATTGTGTTGTAAAAATATTTCTTTCCCTTCAACTTTTTTTTTTTTTTTTTTTTTACATTTTGTCATAATACATAAAATAAAAAAAACTTAAGGTAAAGTTTTTTTATTGGTTTTATTGGTTTTCTTTTTCTTTACACATACAAATCTAAATAAATTTTTTTAGACTTTTGAACATTTTTTTAATAAATAAGATCTGGCTCACCCCAATGAGCAGCTAACTGCATGCGTAGCTCCATTCTAAAAACATAACCACAAAAGCCAAAATATTAAAAATATGGCTTATTCAAATCAACTGCAAATCATCTTTGATTGTATTTTGTTTGAAAATATTTGTGCTGTAATGCTACAGTTTTGCCATAAATTAAAGAAATTGATTTGTCTTTAACTAGCTAGCTAAGAAGCTAATTCACTATAAGCTTAAAAGCCTTAGTTCAAAATTTCACCTTTCATTTGTCAAGGCAAATATGTCTGAGATTGTTTATTTGACGATTTATTTTTTCTTTGTTTCATTAAAATATTGCATGTGGCTTGCTCACCTCTGCAAATATGCTTGTAAAATGTATATTTATATAACCATATCTGAGTGAAAACTGGATCAACACTGGAACTGAGGTATTTTAGGGAATAGAAATTTAATTCTACAGCAGGTTTTGACTCCCAGAAATAGGAAATACATTCAGGAGAAAGTTTCTCGTTTTAACAAGTTTAATGGGATTAAGGAACATATTTTTATATCCCACTTTAACGAAATATAAATCTGACAGGTTAAGACTTCCTAAAAGTTCATAAAGGGGACCCATCTGAGTCTCCATTTATTCACTCTGTTCTTCAGGGCGACACTTGAAAAGGTGTTGCTGTTTCACTTTTATGACATTTCTCATTTCAAGAGAACATTCTGGTTTTTATTATATAAATCTTGTCATAAAATGAGTTCTGTGTCTTATTAAATTGATTGACAAAGTATCTCATTAAAATGAGAAAGTTTCTCTTTTATCCAGTTTTAAGGATTTTTGTATCATGTTACAATGAGGTATTGTTTCAGAATTTATTCCTTAGCTCTGGCAGGTAAGTACTTCTGTACAGTTCAGAGTTAAAGTCAAATTTATTTTTTTTAGTGGCTCTAATCCTCTTCAATATCCTTCAATATTACCATTCAAAAGGTCATATTGTAATTAATCTTTCTGTCAAAAATCTTTCAAATATTAGTTACGTTTTAACTCCGCTTCTGTTTATTTTTAGGTGTGTTGCAAAAAAAGAAATAAGTAGAAAACCTTTAGAACGCAGAACTTTATTTTGAAAAGCCCTTCCGGAAATGGTGTGGTAACGCTGTCGGTCTTGACTCAGGTTAAGTCAGCTTGTCTGCATTCCTCTTCTCTCCCCACAGCCTGGCCGATAGAGACAGAAAGAAAAGAGAGAAGAGGAAGAGGAGGGGGGGAAGAAAACACACATTATTATTCACAACCGTATAGGATTTTATGAAGCACGGAATCGACTCATACCGGATACATCAGGCCACGAAACATAAGCATAAACCCCCCCTCCGGTTCAGACGGCTCCTTCAGGACTACAAAACCGAAAGAAAGACAGATTTGTATTTTTTAGTGACGGGACTTTTCCTACGTATATTTGTGCATAACTCAGCTATCGAAAAGCAGCTTCGTTGAGACAGCCTACAGCCTTTTCTCGGCGGATATTTCCTTTTCTTTCTTTTTTTCTTTCTTTTTTTTTCCTTTTCGTTTTTTTTAAATGAGGATTTACAAGATGGCTGATGACAGCTAGCCCCAACAAGGACAGAAAACCGCGACGTCCCCTTTAAGAACAGGAGGGTATATTTTTGTATTTTTATTAGCTAAATATAAAAAAATATGGCTGCCTCGAAAAAGCTATGAGTGTAGCTGTAATGAAAGGCGTCTGTCCGGTGTTTGTGTACCTGTGCTACGGTAGAAAATGGTGAGGTGACGTCTGAGGTAATTTAGGCGATTTAATCGAGATAAGGAAGTGGGACGAATATGTTGTTAGCTAAAGGCTGAGGCATCGATAGGCTAATAAGGTTTGAGACCAAAGTACAAAACAAACGGTACTTTTGGGGGGGGGCGGGTAGTGGTGGTAATAATCATTGATAAAGGAGATATTTGATAGATGTGTCAAAGCGAGAGAGAGAGAGGAGAGGAGGGGGGAAGCAAACGGCTCTGCAACGACAGCCAACATTCCTGCGGATCCTAAAAGCCTTTGTTTTGTGCGCAGGAGCTGGACTGGACCATTAAAACGATTAACTATGCAGTAAACAGCCTCGACGTGATGGCCTGGGTGTAATTTTCAGAAGAGTTAGATTATAAGGCCTTTTGTTGTGGGAGAGAAAACTGGATAAGGCATAAAAAGCAGAAAGCAGAGGCCTTGTGTACATATATATGCCACATTCATCAAACAGAAATATCGCTTTGTGTGTGTGTGTGTGTGTGTGTGTGTGTGTGTGTGTATGATTATAAAGACAGGAGGTTGTGCTTGGGGTTTTTTTCCCCTTCTCATCTGAGCAATACGACGGGTTTTTCTCAGCCTGCGGCCAAACGATCGCAGGTTGTGTGTGATTAGATTGCTGCTGGATGCTTATTTATAATTCAGCGGACAAAAGCATTGCGCTGCGTACTCATTATTGAGGGAATCAGGCGTCCTTGAGGCTCCTATGGAATACAGTCACATTTTCAGAGGCGTTTCTCTGTGTGAATAGAGAATAGCAACCAGGGTGTGGACCTGAGCAGCCCGTTTTTCATTCTGAATTGGTTGCTATAGTCGACCATAATCCGTCGTTAGGTTAGGGTGAAGGCCTGGAGTGGCAGCAGGAAAAAAGATCAAGATCCCTGTCATGTGTCACATGGAGATGCATGCATCTGGGTGATGGTAAGCGGTTCTCTGTGCCTTGGTTTACCTGTAGCGGACGGAGTTTGGTTCTGTTCTGTGAGCACACACTGAATCACTGAAGACAGGTCTGGTGGTTCCGAGTGTGACTTGGAGGAAAGGAAACCACCGCTTCCTGTAATCTGAACAGCGTCATCCCCCCGTCTGTTTTATGTGTTGAAATCCACCAAGGTGTTTCGCCTGAAGCCTCCTTCAGCTCAGTTTTCCGGGAATTTGCCTTCATGCTGCATTACTAAGCAATACTCGTCATCTGTCAGGGAGGGTGTGCATACAAATATTGATCTTTCAGGACTCGGGTTTTTGAGAGTGTCGGGTTTCCACTGGGAGAGAGACGCACAAAGCGGCCTAAAAAAGGTCTGATTTGTATGCCTGCCTGCACCACCATGGCCTCTGACATGGCTGAGACGTGGAGGAACTGTTTTGAGGAGGAGCTCATCTGCCCTATCTGCCTGCACGTGTTCTCTGATCCCATCCAGCTGCCCTGCAAGCACAACTTCTGCCGGGGCTGCATCAGCGAGGCCTGGGCCAAAGACTCCTCTCTGGCTCGCTGCCCCGAGTGCAATCATGCCTACACGCAGAAGCCCAGTCTGGAGAAGAACCACAAACTGTCCAACATAGTGGAGAAGTACAATGCCCTGAGCGTGGAGAAGGCCAGCACGCCGACGCTGCAGTGCATCCTGTGCCGCCGGGGCCCGCCGCTCCCCGCCGTCAAGGTGTGCCTGCGCTGCAATGCCCCGTGCTGCCAGTCCCACATCCAGACGCACCTGCAGCAGCCGTGCTCGGCCCTGGGGCACCTGCTGGTGGAGGCGGAGGCCGTCAAGGCCTGGACCTGCCCGCAGCACGACGAATACCGGCTGTACCACTGCGACGCCGAGCAGACGGCGGTGTGCCAGTACTGCTGCTTCGCCCGGTGCCACCCCAGCCACGGTCATGCCGTCACCGACGTGGAGCTGCGGCGCAACGACATCAGAGTAAGACGCACTAAATGCCGTGTTCACACATCAATGCTTTCAGTTTCATGTTTAGTTTATCTGTAAAGATGAACTCTGTTCTCTCCAGGCCTGGGCGATAAGTTGTCCCATTATTGTTGTTTTTTTGAAACGGTAAACTTACTTTTGTAAAGAACTCTTCAAACTAGAAGTGGAAGACATTGTAAATATCCACAATAAGACGCAAATAAAGTCAACTCACAACGGAAACCATAAACAAAATGGATTATAAAGTCTCTGTCAGCAAAATTCCCCTTCAAAAAATCTTAATAATCAGAATGGAAATGATTAAACTCATTCAATTTTATCATACGAATAATTGCAACATAATGAGTTGAATCTAATAATTGAGTCAAAATCAACTGCAATACATTCCAGTTCAATCCGGTCAGATTCAGTTTTTAAAGCCAGGTGGGTAAAGAGTCTCTATCTCGGGAAGCCCAGCCAATTTCATAGAGTCATTGGACGAGCTGCTGCCGCTCCTTCTGAGGAAGTATGTGGCGACAGTGGGAGGGAACCACTCCCTTCTAACAGAGAAACATTCTGTCAAAAGTAGGGCTGCAGCTAAACGATTGAACAATTAATTAAATCGGCTCATTCTTCAGGTATTTCATTTAAGCATTTTATACATATAAGCCAATAGTTAATTTGCTTAAAAAAAAAAAAAAGTATTGCCTAAGATGCAATAACACAGCATTCCTTTACACTTGATTATTTGTACCACAGGGTGCATCTGCATCTAAAAAACTTTCTAACCTTTCTGCTTGACTTGGCATCAATACATCAGTTAGCTGTTTAATAAATGTGTGGCAAAAGGTGCTTATGGTTTTTACACAATTTGAACTGGGAGAAGCTAAAACTATGCCACTTGAGGAGTTTTGTGTAGAACATATTTTCAAAGTTTTCGTATCTTAAATGAAAAATGTGTATATTTTTGTCCAGTTTTGTATAAGTAACTGCTCTCAGGCTGTTGATGCTTCTGCAGTTAATCAGGATTAATCTGATTAGTCATTTCAGCCCTTTGCATAAATGGATTCATTTTCACAAATTGCTGCAAGATAACACACAAGAAGTAAAATAAGAATCAAAGGAGGGTGACATGTTGCAAGGATGATTGATTATGTAAAAATAAATATTGAATTTAACTCAAATTTTAAAAATTGTGCTCAGAACTGCACTGAGGTTCTGAAATATGTTTCAAGCATTTTTTTTAAATTATTTGTATAACAGTGGGAATGACCATTAAATCTCTTTATTTTTTGTTGGATTAAAAATGGCTGCATCTATCAAAGAGCCTGCAGCACATTTTGGACTAGAAAACATTTTATAATCCTTATGGGAGAAAAACTGGGCTTTGGCCAGTCAGCACTAAAAAAACAAAAACAGAAATTGGTATCAGCCAATCAGTGCACCGCTATAAGCAGTTAAACAGGCTATTGGTCGGTTTCTCTTTTCCCTAATTCACACCTCTACCTCCTACTCACTGATTTATCTATAAAAAAAATTTAAATTGTTTTTCAAGTTTTCTTCTGAATTCTAAACAAATAACCAAAAATCAAATCTCTCGTTTTTAAATTTGATCTCATGTGTTTGTCTGAAAGACATATATTGCATCCAGTTTCAATTATTCATGGCTTTGACTCCCATTTCGGCGAGTTAACTCTTGCAAAATATGACAAATATGACTCTAATCAGGCCAAAATAAACACAAGCAACCTTCTGGGAGTCAATTTTAGGCATCGGAGCCAAATGACACCATTTCCTCACAGCTAACTGATTAGATCATTAATAAAAAAAAACCTTAAATCATCACTTGCCATAGCAGCTGTGAAACATCCCTGAAATATTCTGTGGCAATCGACTCCTTTTCATATCCAGTTAAATCCAGAACCAACCAAAAAGGGAAACTGACATCCACTTGTAAATTTTCCAAACCAGACTTGTTGGAGTTTGTTGGATTATGGTTATCAAGAAGGAAAGTTCAAGTGTATCTATAATGCTACTTCACTAACCAAAAGAGTGTTCTTTACATACATCTACTTTATATCCTTAACATCAACATAACAAGTGCCAGATTCTGTGATCTCTCGCTGTCATTTAAAATTACTTCACTGGAGAAATTTGGGATGAAAATCTGATGGGGTGGAAAAAAATATCAAAATCAGATGTTCATGTTTTTTATGAAATGCGTGCATTTTGAGTGCTTCCACTCTTATCCGGCATGTTTTCAGTTGCGGCCCGTTCCAAGCCTCCATTCTCATCTATTGGAATGGCAAACAATGCGGTGGAGGGAGGAACAATGAGGGCCCCTCAGAGGGCCTTATCTCCCCAGCACAGGTGCATCCGAGCACAGGGATCACCAGTTGTCGAGCGGAGGGGGCGGGGCAGTTGGAGAGAAGTCGAAGGAAAGAGGGATTAAAGTGATTCATCACTTGCCTCTGCGGACTTTTCTTTTTTTTTTTTTTAACCTATTCGGTTTCTGGGGGAGGGGTCCGGGTGTTCACCACCTCTGGTTCGCACAGGGGTCACACCGGTTGCTCTTGCCGGTTTTAAAAACGTTTAAATGGGGTGTGACAACGCAGCTTGTGCCGAGAGGAGAAACACGAAGGCGTCACTTCTCACTGACTCATATAGTTCACCCAACATTTTTAGGTGTCAACCATGACATACTAGGCTGCCTTTCCTGTTGGTAATGCTATGACTCAGCTGTACGTACAGTTAAATGTCCTCTCAGGGTCCGTGACATGGCCGTTGGGTGGAACTATTAAAAACTGAACAGAGTCTTCTACTTTTACTAACATGCAATGTTACAGTTTTACCCCAAGAAGCAAAAAATGTATAGAAACTACTTTTTAGGGCTGTAACTACTGGTTATTTTAATTATCTATTAATCTATCTATTGGATAAGAAAAAGAAGGGCACAATCTACAGATTTTTCTTTATTCAACCTTCTTTATGCAATATTAGAAAAACATTAAAAGATGCAAATGAACAAATCAATTCCCTTTATAAATTAGAAAATGAAGATTTTATTGCCCAACAAACATTCTTTTAGTGAACACTTAAACATTTGTAACGAAGCAAAAAATAAATAAATATTTCTAACATCAACACATAAAAAACTCAGTGTAGCATTGATCTGTTTATTGTTGTTTTGATTAAACGATTGATACATGGATAGCGAAAGGTGCATACATTTTTTACAGAATTTGAACCAGGTGAAGCCAAGACCAAGATATTTTTGTGTTAAGTGGAAAATGTATGTTTATATATATATATATATAATTTTGGCTTTGTGTTCTTTCAGCAAATTATTGACTTTTTTGAATCTTTGTGGTTCAGCTAACCAATTACTAAATTAGTTGACAGTATCAATAATTGGTTCGTCACGATTAATCGTTTCAACCCCACTACTTTTGGTGTTTTCTACCTTTTGGATAATTATTGAAAAATAATTTTAAAAAATTGAAATTTTAAGGATATTTTTTTATGTTCAATGAACACACAACCATATAGGCTACCAGGTCGGGCTATTAGAAACATTACACTTCGGTGTGGAAGTTGCTCCTGAGGGAAGGCTAAACGGTGCACAGCAAAGGTTTTATCTTTTTCAACTATCTGCATTGAATATTCTGAACTTGACAATATTGACAGCTTTTGTTAAACTAAGGCTTTGTTGGTCTGTTTTTAGTCTTGTTAACAATTCTAACCCTTAACAGCATCAACATCTTAAATGCTATTAGCTTAAAATCTAAACTGTTATCATTTTCCTTGTTTAACATGTGACCTCTGCTCCCAATATAAATAATTACTGCTAGAAAGACTGGAATAAATATATTTTCAGAGCTGCTCTTATAGGTTTTAAAAAGAAAAACTAGTACTAGCAGGTTATGGCTTCACAGAACTTGGCCACCAACTTGTGATCGGTGGATCCCCACCCATCACATTTTTGTTTATCTTTGCAATCTGGTGATTTTCATCCGGTTTGGATTGTATGAGTAATAAAACATTTGTAAAAAACAAACATCAGCAGAGTTGTCACCATCCAAATCTAACAGATTAATGGATTAGTTTTTAAATGTAAACTTCAAATCATTTTATTTTATACGTTTTCTATATTTGACATGTACATCCCTTGGTTAGGAAGCCATTTGTTGTTTAAATGTTATATTGCTTTTACTTTTTTATTGCCATTTCTAAAATGCCCTACTTTTGTCTCAAATACCTACTATATAAAATCCCACCAACGCTTTTTCCAATAAACTTTTAAAACTAACATCCTGATTTTGATTTCTAGTGTAAGAGATTTTATTTGCACTGTATTGTCCCCCCCACCCCCCCAAAAAAATACATTATAAAATATAAAATCTAAGTTAGCCCACTAGACGTGTTAAGGCGGTTAAAATTTACAGGTAAAACAACGAAAAGGTGCTAAATCAGGAAAAAACCTGCATGTTTCCATTTTTATGTTTTCTTATATGCAGCCATAACACTGAGCACAAATAGCCCTGATTTAGTTTTAAATATTCTAACTTGTGCTGTATTGATCCAGGTTATTAAATTTGTACCAGATGGTTAAAACAGGTCTGATAAGCATTTTCATATTTGGTTGCACATAAAAAATAATCAGGTTATTGGTGCTGTTGCAGAGATTAATATCTATTGGCTATCCATCTCTAATAATGTTTTGTAGGTGTTCTTGTTTCCCAGATAAATTCCTTTAGAGATCAAGACTTTTTTTGAGCTACAGTTCATGTTTTAACCAAGACTAGTTTTTAAAAAAATATATATATATATATATTGCTGCACAATACTGGTAATTATTGCGATGCCAATATCGGTTGCTATTTTCTTTCTTTGTCCAATTGGAGCACCTTCTGCTGTAAAGCTTTGTCCACCTGGTTAAATGTTACATTAGCATGTAAAAGGCAAGTTTGTAGTTCTTTGTGATATAAATATTGCACACATTGATATTGAGATTTTATTTGCACAAGTTAGCCCACTAGATGTGGAGCCTAACAGAAAAACAGAAATTTTAAATGTGAAAACTGACAGTTCAGAAAAAGTACAAATATAAACCAGTTTAAAAAAACTGCTTATGCAACATTGGGAAATATGTTGCATAGATTCGGTGTCCCAAGGACCAAAAATGTTGTTGTCGGTGATAAAAAATTTATAAATGATTGTACATTTAAGGATAAGAATCAGTCATGTAATGTGGAAATAATTTAAGTTTATCTGGTGTTTAGAGATTTAAATGTTTGTAGATTGATGAGTGTGAGAGGAGCAGGAAATCATAAAATCATGTATCTTCAACCTGCTCTTTTTCAAACAGTGCAAAATTGCGTGATAATTAATTTTAATTAATTTTTTTAATTGTTTTTACTTTTTGTCTGTTTCAAATAAATAAATAATGACAGAATAACTTTCTGAACTTTTGAATCTTCCATCTTAAAATCTGTCCAGACTGTCACGGTCTTTATACTAAAAGCGACCTGCACTGCTGACGACGGTGTTGGGGGCGTCTGTGCTGCAGCAACATGTTTACCACTGACATGATATTTTAGGCTTTAATGACTTTGGTGACTGGCTAACTCCTTTTAGCACAACTTAAACACAACAATAGTCTTTTTGAAGCAAAACTGAGTCCCCAATGGTCCAAGAGAAGCAGCTTTGTCATCCATATATTTGTTTGCAGAAGCTGCTTATGCGTCACTTTTATGGACGTACTAGAAACACACAAGAAAAGTTCCGGCTTGGGACTTTTAGATGCAGAAAAAAAAAAAAAAAAAAACGTGATTCACTGGGTTAAAATTTTTAACGCATTAAGATCTATGTAATTAATTAATTGAAATTGACACTTTAAAATCCTGGTCCTAATTTTAATATAATGTAAATATTACATAAAAAGTCATTTTGTTTTTCATTTATTTATTTATTTCAAACATGTTTTTGAAAACAAGAAATCAGTAGGGCAAACGTGCATACATAACTGAGAACAAAGTAATAATAATAATATTACTTACTGACTCAATAATTGTCAGAAATTTGTAATTATGCGACTTTAGTCAGCCGCTGTAGGACTAGTACCGGTTCATCCGGATATTTAGTTATTTGCCATCATGTCCTCATGATGATGATGATGATGATGCACTCGCCACCCTACAGCCCCTCCCTCACCCTGCAGCCCCTCCCTTGCCCTGCTCTCCATCTCCATCAGCCCCCAAACCTCTTTCACCTCCCTCTCGCCATCCAGCAGCCACCCAAAGCCAGACCCGACCTTCCCCCTAGCCCTCCTCTCCTGCGCTGATGGAAGGGGCTCTGTAGTGAAATGACAGCTGAAGAGCACCCTTCCTCTGTTTTTTAACCTCTGCTTCCCTCCCCCAAAGGTATCCCATACATGTAGCTAGACACGCCCCCTCCCCCTCCTCCTCCTCTCCCTCTTCCTCCTGGTCCTGCGCTGGCTTCTGCTCAGAGCCTAACTCAATCAGTAAGCACAACCAGGTCACCGTCCTGGATCCAACCAACTGTGCATGTAACAGAGCTATGTAGGGCAGCGATTCCCGACCATGTGCCGCCGAGACCCGACACTGTGCAGCTTTTCCTTCCTATCGGCCTCTGAAGCAGCTGATCACTAATGGTAAAATCAGCTGCTATGTGCTGGAATGCCTCTGTGCTGAGGATGATGATGGCATGTGAAGAAACCTTCAGCTGGAGGGAGCAGCTGATCGTTTAGGATTCACTCTCTCTCTATCTAAAGGCTTTCCTGCAATATTAATGCAAGTTTTCGGTTTTATTTGTGAGGATATTTAAATTTGCAGATTATCCCCGATACTAAATCGATGAGGATTGCAGAATGTTTATAGGTAAACGGTTTTGAATAAAGAGGAGTATTTTCATAAGTTATGATGAGGTTTTATTTATGTAGGTTGGTTCTCCATGTTTGATCATAAATCTAAATGTTGCCATTTAGTTGTTTTGGGTTGCTAAGTAGATGATGGTGCTGTCTAAGTTTGCAAAACTGAACGTTGATTCTCCATGTTTGTATAAACACAATAAAACAACAATACTCTGATAGTATTTCTAACACAAGAAGAATCAGACAATAATAAGACTCATAGGCCTATTTTATTGTTTTGGAAACTCTGCTTTGTTATTCATGCAATTTTTCTAGCTTTAAATGATAAACAACCAGAAAATGTTCTGTTATTGGTTACACTGTAGACATGCTCAAGTATTTAATTATTAAATTCAGTACCCTGTAAGAGTAGCAAAATCTATATACTTTTTTTTTTTGTTTGTTTGTTTTTTAAATTATGATTCAGGGGCTTAAGAAAATCACTTTGATAGCCATAGTTTAGCAAGTCCAAATTAATTAGTACTGGACAATAAATCAATTTCTATCAATTATTAAAATCAAATATTTTATTTTTAAGCCAGATTGTCCAGTTATAATAATAATAATAATAATAATACATTAATAATAATGATAATAAGCACCTGTGTCTAGTTTATTTGCAGCTAAAGCTGAACATACTACAAAAACACAATATCTTAGTTTTGTCTTATTTCAAATTTACTAACTTAAAAGTAACTTTTCAACTTTTGATAGAGTACTAGTTATAAATGAAATAATCTGCCAGTGAAACTAATACTTTTTGAATCAATATTAAGGAATTGCTGACTTAAAAAACCTCTTATGTCTTGCTTAAAAAGTTACTTGTACGTTTTGTGTTATTTCAGGTTTGCTAAGATATTTGCACTTGAAATTGCACCAGAAACACCTGATAAGATGTTTTTGTTTTTGCCGAGCAGGGAGATGGTTTGGCTGAGCAGCCGTCTGCCACTGCTCACATGCCATCCTCCTCCCAGAAATAACAGGTGCTGTTGCTAACACATCGCCACAGCTCATGGAGCAGCCTCCAGTGGGTGATCTAATGTCTTTTAGGAGGAAAGTGCTGGACGGGGGAGGAAGAGGAGGAGTAGGAGGAGGAAGAGGCGGAGGTGCACCAAGGGGAGAGCAGAGCTGCCGGAGCTTTTTACTGACCATTTATCTATCTCTGCTCTCTGCCTCCAGCTCCCCCAACTTCGGTCCTCACTCTCTAATGCAAACACTAAATAGCTGCTGGTTGCCATGGCAGCATCCCCCTCCTTCCCTCCCTAGCAGGGATTGCATGTTGGATGGAGACTAAATTAGCCAGCTCCAGGAGCTCTAGTATCTCTGGTATGGTGAGCGAATGCTTATGGCTAACTGGAGGTTATAACTTCCCTTTTTTCTTGGCTTTCTGTTGTTGTTTTTTTTTCCAGCAAAACCTGCTGAGACAGCAGGAGCGCGTGGAGGAGCGAGTGCAGGAGATAGAAGAGCAGCTCTGCAAACTTGACTCTGACAAGTGTACAGTGGAGGTACGTATGAAGGACTTTATTCACACATTTTAACTGTGAAGCTGCAGTACGCAACTTTTATAAACAATATATATTTTTGCATATTTGACATATAAGACTTGCAGTAAGTTAAAAAAAAGTTTAAAGTTGACAGGAAATTTGAAAATATCACTTGATAGTCATGCGTTTTTGTCTGAACACCATCTATAAAGTCTTAAAAAATGCAAACATTTAAAAAAAACTTAAATAAACAAGCTATGCTAAGCCTGGTGGGGGCACAAGTAAAGCCTGGTGACCCGCCAGGCTTATAATAAACTGGGGGAAACCCTGAGTATGGTATGAGACAGATAATCTGTGAAAATATCTAGCTCCTCTGCCTTCTCACAATGAGAGCGAGAAGGCAGGTCTTAAAGCTAAGGCTAGCTAGAATGACCAACTAGCCAATAACAGCAGATAACTGGTTTTCCTGTAACTGTAAGTTGTTGTCCGTCATTAGCATTTTTATCAGCGTGTACATTAGGTTGATTGACAGCACTAAGACCCGCCTCCTGACTCTGATTAGTTGTTTTTGGTCGGGAGCTGTGCATTTCTGTAGACTGCAATATTAGCTCAGGGATTGCACTGGGCTACTAAAAAATATATTTTGGAAATTGTCTGTTTTTTCCATTGATTTAGGACTATTTTACACCACTGAATCCAAAAATGCCATCCATTTTTCTCAATCAGGTCAAGTTTTTATTCTAATTTGGTTTAGAGAAATCTGATCTTCTGACTAAATTGATAACATTTTTGTGACATTATCAGTTCATTTCCGTTAAGATTTCTCATCCAAAAGAGATTTTGGGAGAAAAAAAATAGTTTTATACCAGAGTATATTAATTAAATGATACAAACTTGGATTTCTGTAAATTGAACCTTACGTCTTCACTGGGGCATGAACTTCTGTTCCTTTGAACGCCTCGTATGCTGAGCAGCAGAAATGTCCAACAGTAATCAGGCGTCATGACTGCATCCCAAACTAATACGTAGCTCAGTTCAGAAAGTTGACCCGATTGAGCAAAACCAACGTGATTTTTGGATTCAGCCCATCAAAATCACCCTAAAACAGTTTTAAAAACCCCAGACAATTTTATTGGCTGTTGCCCAGTGTTAACTGTCTCATGCTATGCTTTCACAAAATGGTGACAGTTTTTTTTTCTGGAAATATCCAAAGAGCAGTTTTAGTTCACTCTTAAACCGTCCACAGGACAGAGTGTGTGAGCTGAAAGAGGAGGTGCGCCTGCAGTACCAGCGCATGCATCAGCTCCTGGAGGAGGACCTCGGCCGCACGCTGGAGGCCCTGGACCGGGCTCAGGCTCGCTTCTTCCAGGAGAACGCGGCGCAGGTTCTGGCCCTGGGGGAGCAGCGGCACGAGGCCCAGAAGCTGCTGAGCTCCATCCACACGGCCTTCAGCAAGGCGGAGGAGCTGAGCTTTATGAAGAACACGAAACCCGTTAAAATCCTCACAGACAGGTGAGGCCTCATTTTTGGCCTGCCTTTTGGGTGATACTGGTGCAGAATATGAGCAAAAAATTAATTTTTTCAGCAGTCCAATTCATAATGTGAAGTCATGTATTGTGTAGATTAAGTTATTTACATGTAAATAAATTTTTGTAATGTTTAGAAAGGGAAAGTAATAATTTTATGAGAACTCCTACATGGAAAATAACAAAAAGTCCAAATGAGGAATGTTGTGAAGTTGGTTTTACAATAAGCAAATACTTAATCTTTTAACACATTAGCATTGAATTATTACCAGTAATAGAACTTTAAAACAATTTTAAACCGTTTAATTTTAAAGAATCACATGATGCTGTCACATCTGAGCAAAATAACTTATCAAAACTTGATCAGTCATTAAAATGTTTTTCTCGTAATTTTAAGTTGCTCTGGCAATCTTATGTTTTTATTCTGCTAATATGAAGACTTTATTTTTGTAATTTAGCAAACATTTTCAGCAACATCACACCACTCACAGAAGGCAGGCTTTAAAAGAAAATGAATACATTTTTCAAAAATGTTTTCTGTCATTTGTAATTTTTGTTTTAGAAAATAAAGTGAGAAAGAAATCAATCAGGTATGAAAAATGTTTAAATGTAATTTTTTAAGCCATGTGGCTCATATGCGAACCGTTTCATCGATGCAGCGTGACATGCAGGCGATCAGCAGCGGCGATTGCACATTTTGTCTTAGAAGTGTCGTTTAGCAATTTACTGAAAACAGGAACACGAGTTCCTGAACTGGTTCAGTTCACAGAAGGGAACTTGATTTTATCTACCAGATCGCAGACGGCCATCGTGCTTGATGATGACATGTGAAGGTGTCATGTGAGGGTCATCACCCTAATATGTGAGGGTGATTAGTCAGGACAATTGATAACTAATTTTGCTGAAATTAGAATCGGATTTGAAACTTCAGCCTCTGAGCTGAAGTTTCAAATCCACAGTAAGTGGTTTCACTTACTGTGGAAAATTTCACACTGGACTTTCAGCTATTTGGATTCTCTGGCTCTCCACTTTTTTATTTTATGTACCTTAGTTTTTTCTTCTACTAAACTTTCCATTAATGTTCTTGGATACAGTACTTTTTGAATAGCCAGCCAGCTTCTCTAGAAATTAGCTTTTTGTCAGTGATGATGCAGCCATAGCTCTGCATTTCTGTATTAAAAATATTTCTTAATAATCTTATTCAATATTTAAGTTTTCTCTATAACTAAATTCCTTAACAGGAAAAAAGTGATGAAAGAATATCACTTTGTGTGTCGTAAATCAATTTTAACAAACGAGTTTAACTTTCTGAAGTGAATTACAGAAACAAACGTTTTGACTATGTTCTACTTTATTGCGATGCTTCATCATGATTTCTTGCTGTTGTCACCTTGTTGCAGGTCGCAGGCATGCGTGGGCAGCAGCCTCCCTCCTTACAAAGTGGGGAATCTGAACTCTAAGCTGTTTCTTTCTGAGATCGCAAAGCGAGAGAAGAGCTTGAAGCGAACGCTTGAGGGTAGGCAGCGTAACATTTGGCACGTGGAGAATCAGCCTGACCCTCTGTGATTAAATGTTTTTTAATTTGTGTGTTTTGTCTCAGTTCCTCTCACCCCGCCGTCGGCGTTCCTGCAGACCGTCGCCGCTTTCCCCAGTGGCCAGAGCTCCGGCTCCGGCTCCGGGGCGGAGAAACGGAAACATTCCACCGCCTTCCCGGAGGGAAATGGCAGCACGGGGAAAAACGCCACTCCGGGTTTCAAAGACTCATCCTCATCTTCCTCCTCTTCTTCCTCTTCGTCGTTAGCCAAGCAGCCCTACTTGGGGTCCGGCTCCGCCTCTGGAGAGGGCCAGTCCGCCAACCAGCAGACTCTGGGCCCCTGTGCGCCGCCTCACATCGGCGAGGGCGGCGGCGCCGGGAGCGGGAGCGGCTCCCTGACCAACCATCACTCCGGCTCCGTGTTCGGCTCCTCCCACTTCCCGCCGGGCGGCAGCGGCTCCTCCCACTCCTCCCAGCAGGCCGTGCTGCCGCAGTACGGCGGCAGGAAGATCCTGGTCTGCACCATGGATAACTGCTACTGCTCCGGAGTGCCGTCGGTGTCAGGCCACCGCAGCCACCCTCCCTACCCGCGCTCGGGCTCCTTCCCCTGGGTGAGCCCCCAGGACTACCCGCCCCCTCCGGGCCTGGCCTCCGGAGGGCCGTCCATGCAGGGGCTGGCGGTGAGGGACTGGATAGACGCCTCACAGACGCACAGACATGCAGATTTCTACGGGCTGTACGGGCAACCGTCCACCAAGCACTACGTCACCAGTTAACGCAGCGGTTATGCTCTTAAAATAGAGACGGGCACCAAAATAGCACACACCTTTACAGATTTATAAACCTGAAATCTACAAATAGTGGCTGAGCTCACGAACACTGCAAAAACAGAATCCAACCAAGTATTTTTCTCTGGTTTCTAGTGCAAATATTTTAGTAAAGTTGAAATAAAACCAAACTAATTTTTCAGGAAGATGTAGGAACTTGTTTTAAGTCTGTTCCTTTAATATTAATGAAAAATTAGTAATAGATTATTTCTACTGTTACATGGAGAAAATGTCTTGTCATAGGTGAAATAATCTGCCAAGTACTTTTTCAACAATATTAAAGTAATCATTGACTTAAAAACAGGAAAGTCCAAACAAACAAACAAACACATGAACCAAAGGGGGGGATTGGGGGATTTTTTTTTTGTAAGAAAGGGATGTTATTCATTTTAAATTCAAAAATTAAAAATAATTTTGCACACTTACTGTTTTAAGAGGCATCTTGTTTCAAATTTAAAATTTTTTCAAGCTTGCTACATTAAATTTATTCTCAGTAAAAGGATAAATTTGAGGCTGAAGAGTTGCTTTCTTTCAAAACGTTTGCTACAAATAAGACATTTTTAATAGAAACCAGACCAAAAATATTTGGTAAGAGTTTGTTTTTGCAGTGAATGAAACTGATGTAGAAGACGCGTGCGCGCACACACACACACACACACACACACACACACATTCGGGGGCAGGGTTGATCCATTTTAATTGTTCCTTTAATTTCATCCAGTGTTTCATGTAGATAAAACACAAACTCTGCTCACTTCGGCACAACTCGGCTCTGCGTTTTTACACAGGGAAGAAAAAAAAAACTTTTTCTGGAGACAAGAGGGTGATGTTAATCTTTTTATTTATAGAATAGGATGCAAATTGATAGAAAATGAACTGTTATTAGAAAAAATGTTTTCATTCTTCTACACAATGCTTCACTGAGGCTAAAGGGAAAAGGAGATAACAGGCTTCTGGTTTCAGCTCGTGTTTCTCTTGATATAATCACCCCTGCAGTTATGCTGAGGCCCAGCTGCCTTATGATGTTCATATATTATTTTTGTCCACAAGCTGACTTTGTTTGATCCTTTTTCAAAAAGAGGAGGAGATGGCCTCCACTTCTTCCCGCTCTCTCCGTCTCGTTTTGATTTTTTTATCATCTCTGCACTTCTTCTTCCTTTTCATTTGCTAAGTTCAGGGATGCGTCGCACAGCTTGAACGCAAAACGCTCTTCCATGGAACACCCACAATGCACTTGTGGACGCCTTCCTGCTACAGGGGTGGGACTACAACGCTGCGTCTTTGGGCACAAGCAGCCCCCTAATTCCTTAAACTCCCTTCCTGCTGCCACAAGAGGGCAAACAAAAACCTATGAAGACTGTTTTCCCCCTTTCTTTGTGATTACTATGGCTTTGTGTTATTTGGTACATCTGTAGGAATCATGTAGAGACAGAAACTGGACAAACCAAACCAGTCATGCATCTGGACGATCTGACGATGCTGTAATTGTACTTCCTGCAGGGCAAAGATGTCACTTCCTCTCAAAAAAGAAGAAAAAAAAAAAAAAGCACATGAGCTCTTGGCTTCCTGTTTGCAGCTGAAAGCATGCAAGGAAGAATTTCTTTCTGTTTTTTTTTTAAGCACTCAAACGCAGAACAATGGGGAAGGGGGGGACTGTATGCTGTTTTAAATGACTGTATGAAAGAAACAAACGGCGGGAGGAGGAAGTTTTTCATGAACTTTTTCTAAAAGAACAAAGATGAGAGATGTAAGCAGTGATTCATCGTCCTATAAAGGAGTTGTTACAACAGCTAACATTATGGGAGGGGAGAAAAAAAAGTATCTTTTTTTGTAAATATTTTGTGAAATGGGAAGTAAAAAAAAACAAAAAAAAGGAGGAGGGGAAAAAAGAAAAGTTTCTGACGTGATTTGGAGATGGGTTCCAAATAAACGAATACATTTAATCTGGTCTCTGCTGTTAACTGTTCACGTGCAAATCCCATCATCTCATTTAAAGGATAGAAGTGGTGATATCCTATATTTTTGTTACTGTAAATAAATCCCATAAAAAAGGCAAACCAAGAAGTGTGTTAGTATTCAAATACATCCTGTTTCACGCCTTGATTCCTCATTGTGAAAGTCGTTTGTTCCTGGGGATGATCACTTGTTTTTGCAGATAAAATTTGATTAGAAGACACTCAAATTAAGTTGTTTTTACAGTTAAAATAGTAAAAAAAAAAAAAATTAAAATAACCCTTAAAAAAAGAAATAGAAAAGAGGTCCTTTTTTTTTTCAAAATTATGTTTTTCATCTAAGCTCAAGAATATATACTTGTTTTTTTTTGGGGGGGGGGGGCGCAGGGGGGTGCTTTATACCTCTTTAGAAATTCAAGAAAATTGAT